TGGATGAACCTAGAAGACTTTATGTTAAGTGAAATAAGCCAGACGCAGAAAGACAAATAGTGCATGATCTCACCCGTTTACAGAATCTTAAAAAGCTGATATCATAGAAGTACAGAGTAGAACAGTGCTTAGGTGATTGCCAGAGTCTGGGGGTTGGAAGGGAGGATGGGGAGAGATTGGTCAACAGGTACAAAATTACAGACAGACAGCAGGAGTAAGTTCTGGTGTTCTATTGCACAGTAGGGTGGCTATAGTTAACAATATTGTGCTGTATACAGGTGGTCCCTGGGTTACCAATGAGATACATTCCTGAGAATGTCTTTAGGTCGGATTTGTATGTAACCTGGATCCCTGATGAACAGCGTATATGCAATAAATAATAATAACAACAGCAATAGTATAAGGGCTCCTATGTGGTAATAATAATACAGTGTAATACTGTAATAACAATAATAGCCCTATACTGTAATTGTAAGTTACAGAAACTATTGTGCTCTTTCTTTTAATTCAAGCAAATAGAACATAAAACAAACTCACACAAAAAGTTTAGAAAGGAAATGGGAGAAATTTCAAAAAAGAATATTAAAGGTTAACACTCGCCTAATGTTGCAGCAACACTACGCTAATAGTTACACTTACTTTGATCTTCTAACCAAATTAATAACTTTTCCATTTCAATAATTAATCCACTATGCTGCTTAGTAATACCTGATGCATTCATCGGAGCACTGCCTTTCACATGTTCCATTATTCTCACTTTATAATTGTTCTGATAGTCGAGTGATTGAAGCCTGATGCTTTCCCAATGAATGATGGCGTCTGGCCTTTCTCTGAACACTTAATCATTTCTACTTTCGTTTCCATTGTAATCACCTGTCTCTTCGCTGCAGGCTCACCTAGACTTACAGTGGACTTTTGCTTTGGAGGCATGGTCATCAGCGTAAACACAGACTCAAAACTTCATAGAAAAGTTAAGACAAAAGTGATGCTGTGTGTAAGCGACCACGTAAATGAGACTAGCCCCTAGCATAAAGATATCGCACCAATGACCCAATGACACTGTGCAGATTTGTTTACGGGTACAGAAGAAACTAATT